GTCAACTCCCAGGAAAACGGTGCTGGCGGCGCAGGTCCTAAGCCTCTGCTGTTGCCTCACTCTGGCACGGGAGCTAAGGGCAAGTCCTCCCCAGGACCCTCCTCTGAGCCCCTGGGACTCGACTGGGCTCTGGCATCACCCTGTCACTTGCTGCCAGGCCTCCCAAGCTTAACAGGCATCAGGAACACCGGGGCACTTGGTGAAAGAGTCTGGGGCTCCCTCTCAGCCCCTGTCAGAATCTCCAGGGGAGACACCCAGGAACCGCGTGTTTAGCACAGATGCTCCTGATGCACCAGTGAGAACTACTCTTGGGCAACGTGGCTGTAAAGCACGGGGACACGCTTCACCCTGTCGGTACCGGGGCAGCCAGGGTTTGGCGTGGGGGCAGCCCACTCCGCAGGAAGCTCCTAGGCACTCAGGTGGTCAAGTTGGCTGCCTCACCCGGTATGGGGCCTCTGCACAGGTTAAGAGGAAAACGTAACATAAGCAGCCTTTTTGAAACAGTTACCACCTCAAAGCTAGACTTCCGAAGGGGGCAGAATCTTGAGCACTCCAGGTGCAGTTATTTAAGATGTGAGGCCTGCAGAGAGCTCTTGCCCTTGGCTTGTTTTTCATGTAGGACACACTGGCTAAGCCAGCATCTGTCAGGGACACTGCCAACAGGGCAGCACTGTGACAAAGAGGAGCTTGCTCCCTCCTTCAGCATTTGCGGGGACCATCTGTCCCCCCCAAGCGTAAGCGCCGGCCAGGTTCCCCTCAGCCGTGCTGGGCCCAGCTGTGCCTTGTCTCTGCCAGTGGCGAAATCCCTCTGCCTGTCCACCTCGCCCACGGCCCCACTGAACGGCCCTACTCTGGAGCTGACTTCTAGTGGTCTGTCCACCATTCCATGTTTGTCTCCTCACAGGGTTCTCATGCAGAAGGCTCCCAGCTAAAGGGAAAGGCTAGTGAGGATGTCAAGGATGAAAACCCACGATGGGGTAGAAAACCCTGTGGCCCACGCTTGAGGCATTTCGCGAAGAGTTCATTCCAAATTGATGTCTTCCTATGGCAGTAACCCAGAAGTGCTCATGATGAGGTTACGCTGAAGTAAAAGCCAATCTCAGTTCCAAAGCACCACTTATCTTGCTTCTTAGATTTATGACCTCCAGTCTTTACGGTTTTCTGCTGGCACAGAGATTCATTCCCTAAGTCACCATCTGTGACACTGAGCAGTATGAGTATCAACTGTGCTCTCCAAGCAGTCCCTTGCTCCTGCGCCCCTGTGATAGCCATATTCTGGTGTTCAGAAGTTCAGTTTCCCTCATTTCCAGGATAAAACCAGTCACAGCTTGAAACTCTAAATGGACGGTTGTGTTTTGTTAACTAAGAAGCCCGCTAACCCTTCAGACACTCCATACCAGAGCAACCTGTTCCACATAAACGTTCTGATTATTAAGCACATGGACAAAAGAGAGCAAGGAGAAATCTCAGTAACTAAACATTCCTTGTCCAAAAGGGATGCCAGGATGTCACACATTTAGCTCAGGTCAGTAAGTCAAAGGATGTTCTCTGAAGGTGCAGGTCTCCGGTGGCCAGTAGCAGCTACCCCAAGTTCCCAAAGATGAACCCAACTGTCTCCTCTGCTGAAACTTGTGTAGCTTCAGAAATGCATTAGATACCCTTCCAGAAAGTGTGCAGTGCTAAAGACCCTCCTAAAACTCTGGAAGGGTCTAGGTATTCATTCAATAAATGAGCATCTACTCTCTGCCAGCACCATATAGAACCATCACCCTCCTCTGAGCCTCTGGCATCCTCTGAGAGAGGCTTCATCTTAAACATGCACAAGCAATGGCTCAAACGCTGAAAAGTGCCCTGAAGGAAAGCAAGGGGGCTACGATGGAGATCAAAAGACAGGAGTGATCCCAGCAAGGGGCAGAAAAAAGTGAGGAAAAGCCCTGGGGCTGACTCAGACGACTGCAGGAGAATGAGGGAATTAGGCTGCCAACACGAAATGAAGCCACTCCACAAGGAGACTGGGCCCCACCCTGGGTGAATGGGGAGCAACGCGTGGTTCTGAAGAACAAGGACTCTGCCGTCCAGGAATACCGGTAAGAAGCCCAACTCCAAGTCCAGCAAAGAGAGGGTGGCTCTGTGGAGCGTGGGGTAGCATGGCGGCACAAGAGACACATTTGGGAGGCAGAAGGAAAGGTGGTGCTGTGGAAGCGCGTCCGGCTTTAACCGCTGCTTCAAAGGAAGTGGCCAGAGTGTTTGGGAAGCAAATCGCGTGGCTGCCTCGCTGACAGCGCCGTTCTTTTCCAAACCCCGCTTCTCTAGATGCCTCCACGTGACCTTCGGGTCTAGAGCTCCGTGAGGAGTTGGGGTGTTACAATAAAAGAAAAATGCTTATGAACTCCAGATACACACAGGCAGCGAAAGAGCACCAGATCTAAAAGTGCTTTTATTAAAAAAAGACTGACACCCTCACAAAGAAGTAATCTCCCTGCAAAATTCCCCAAGACGAGTTATTGGACTCTCAATAACTAACTCATAAAAATGAAATGGGACATACTACCCATAGAAATAATTACTACAATTTTCATGAAGATGCAACAAGTAGAAATTTATTTCCCAAGATACAAAAGTAACTGAAGGATCACAGAACAAAAATATCTAAATGGCATCTTCCCTCCATTTATCGGCCTTCTTGGACTCACAATATTTATGAAATCAGCAAACCCCTCTGCAGACACTTTAGGGTATGATGCAAATGGTGAAGTTCACATTTGCTATAGAATTGAAGAGGAAAGGCCTTACTTCACATGCTTGACTGTCGACCTTGAAACTTCAGAACTGCTTACCATGCTGTTAATGGAAACCATACTGAGACACCCGGTGATTAAGTAGGAGCCTATGTATGGCTCCCCCTCTCCTATTATGCATTTTTGGATTAGACCAAGTGATCATAAATATAACTAAAGATGTATCCCACATTCAGAGAATACGGGTGCCCTACCCATAAAGGGAAATCAGGGAAGTCTAGACCTGGACAGAAATACCTCTGCTCACCCCACTTTCCCCATGCCAATATCCCAGGGTGGGTACAGTAAAGACAGCAAGGCAGAGGCCTGCTCTTCAGAGCTGTTTAACATTTGGACTGCTTTTTGATATCTACAATTTAAAAACCCACAATGAAATAAATACAGTCGTTGTTTCAAAGGTTTTTTATTTTAAATCACTGAAAGAAATAAAATTATGTTTAAAAAAATAGAGTAATCTCACAAACCGAGGAAAGCCAGGAACAAAAAGAACAAGTTAGTACTTTTTCCTGAGAGGCAGATCTAATAGCTGTAGAATGAACTTTCTTCTTCCTAGCTTTTGTCAAACAAAAAATGTTCCTATTTCTAAGGCATCAAAAAGCACTCTGAGTGCTATATGGGTTGTTCAGGTACAAAGTTACAAGCCCTCTAGTGGGGAGTAAAAAACATCGAAAGCTGCTACAATTTCCTTTCATATCAAATACTACATTGTACTTCTACTGTTTGTGTAAATTTGAGAATTTCACACTCATGACCTAAATTTCAAAAATCTGATCAGATTTCAAAATCTTACTACTTCTTAGTAAGAATGTCCAAAGTATCTGAACTGGCATCCCGATAACTGAAAGGGGCCAGCAGCAAGAAGAGCTGCTTTGATCTCACTCACCATCTGCAGCCAAAACCAGCCATCCGGGGAGACTTGGACACAGCTAGAAATCTGTGCTAAAGCTTAACTGCTAAACCACTGGACCTGCCTGCAAAGGCAGATCAAATCCTAATGGTTCATTGGTAATACACAGAACAAAAGTTACAAAAGTCACTTTATAACTCCCAAAGCTCTAAACTTACTCATTCCCCATACTTGGTTTCCCTCAGTTTTATTCTGCTAAATCTATTCCCAACCACTTCAGATAGTCAAGACAATGGTGAACATTTTTGTTCTATGCATACTTGCTTGCTTGTGCTGAAGTTTTTTGATTTGCATAGGTAATATAAAAGCTTGAATCAATTTTTCCCAAAGTTCCAATCTTGTGTTGTGAAATACTCAGTGCACACCTCTGATGATTTCCCTAAGGTTTCTTTTTCAAGATACTTAAGTCAATTCATGTAACTGGTAACCATAAATTCAATGGAGACATCAATTTCTCAAAGATTTTTTTTTTAGTAAATAAGATTTAAATGTCTGTAGCACCTATTATAGGTGCTTAAAGAGTCCAGTGACCTAAATGCATCTCCAATTAAGTTAATTGCATAACATCATCCAGCTGTTAAAGATTCAGTAGGATCTTGCTGTGGGTTTGTCCTAGTTATTCGAAACATCTCTCAAACTTTATGAGTAGATTGCTATTCCAAAGCAAAGGGGTGTGGGACCAAAATAAAAGCTTCCATCTTGTTTCCTAGTGCTACAGGGAGTTAGCCCTGTTCAGACAGCATCTCATTGGAACAGCACCCGGGCTCCTGTCTCACATTCAGAAGGGCCTCATGCCCCTAATAATGGCTTTGCTGAGTTGGAGGGCACCATGATGTCTTCTACTCGGGAGATTAGCACAATCAGCACTCTTCCACCAACCAAGGGTGCAACTTGAATTACATTCTGGTTACATTATCCCAAGTCCTAATATGAAACAGCAACGTGGCCAAAAATGACCATGTTCAAACGAGATACCTGGTAACACAAACTTTTAAATCAGCTACGACTCAGTCTCTTGTCACCAGCCCAGGCACAAATAAATACACAACAGCCAACAAATCTGAGCTAGAATTGTGTTTAAAAGAAAAAAAACAGAGCCGGGCTCGGTGGCTCAGCCTGTAATCCCATGCCTTTGGGAGGCTGAGGTGAGTGGATTGCCTGAGCCCGCGGGTTCGAGACCCGTCTGGGCAACTTGGTGAGACGTCATCTCTACAATAAATTTTTAAAAAATCAACCGGGCGTGGTAGCGCGTGCCTGTAATTCCAGCTACTGGGAAGGCTGAGGCAGAAGGATCGCCGGAGCCCAGCAGGTCGAGGCTGTGGTGGCCGGGAACGGCCACTGCACTCCAGTCTGGGCGACAGAGTGAGAGTCCAACTCAAAAAAAAAAAAAGAAAAAAAAAACAGGAGGTGGGGGGATAGATAACAAGGACAATCTAAACTACTAACATTGATATAAGCCAGGCTCCAGAGACTTCCTACTTAGTGACTGCCATTTTTTAGTCTCAACAAAAATGTTAATATCCTGAGTTTTATCAACATGTTTCTAAAATAATTTATGGGACACAAAAGCATATGAATGAATAAACAGAAGCAGTGGTACATAATGTCTAGAAGAACAGCCCACTAACCAGAAAGAGAAATGTCACAAAAATAATATAAAAAGATATATTTAAGTGAAATAAATTAAAGTTTAAACCTTATACTTTCAAGTTTTCTTAGACAAGTATTATGGGAGATGGCATGGAGTTGATACCTTTTTCTAATCTTACTTGGTTAAGACCAAATGCCAAAATGATCCCTCACAAGAAATTTTTTACTTTAAAACTCATGGCCCCATGGCAGTTAATTTGAACACAAAAGAGAAACTACCTGCTGAATTAATAATATTCCTGATCCTCATCAGTAGCTTGTGTCATCAAACTGTTAAGACATTTTGTTTACTAACCTGGCTGTGAAATCGGCATCCAAAAAAATGCTTACGTTACTAGCATCTGCAGAAACTAAAATTTTGGTACACAAGTTTCTCTAAACCACTGAGTTGTTTTTCTTAGGACAAAATAATGCCAATCTAATAACACAAAGGTATCCTAAACGCATAATTCTAATATGTTTTACTTTTTAAAAACAGTCTATTTGCTTCCTAAATGTTATTTGTATTTTTAAGTCAATTGGCTTCATACTGCCTTTACGTTGTGATGGGGTTTTTCAAATTAACCTGACATCACTACTTAAAAACTTATAATTTTGGGGAAAACATTTTTCCCCAACAGTATATTACGTTAAATTATGTCAAAAGCAAAGTCTCTGCTATACATAAAATCACTCCAAATTACAAATTAATTGGTTTCTACAGCTCTAAGGATTTATAATACATAATGTAGAATAAATTCACAAATAGATTAACACAGATGGCATTCAACTTTTCTTAATCCAATTAACCATACCCATTAAAACAAAGAACCTTCTGCACAACATGCCAGTTTCCCATTCCTTTTATCAACTTTAAAAAAAAAAGCATTTCTTAGGAAGTTGGGATTTATTAAGAACATCAGGGTCCAGGATTTTTTTTTACCATATACCTCAAACATTTTTGGCTTTGGATCCTCACAGAAATCCTTATTTAAAACCAGATATCTGAATTGCATGGCTAACATTTTTAGCTAATCAACTCTTCAGTGCTGTTCCTAGAAAATAACCTCTAATGGATCTCTGAATAATGGAACAAGCCAACTTTCAGCCATTGATATGAGTGATGTAGGTGGTCACACCTTTACAGTTCAAGTCACAAGTTGTAAAGTCTAGAGAGGATGAGGTCTACTGTCCTGCATTATCAGACTCTGTTGTATTTTCAGTGCTAATGGGTTGCACGTTGTCTGCAAGGTTGTGTGCATGCTCAAGAAACAAATCTTTTAGTACACTTAATTCCTTAGTCAGCAACTTAATTTTTGCTTCCAATCGTTCATTCTCTTCTTTGAGCTGATTCACTCTTTGCAGCGTATCTTGCGCTTTCTGCTTGCTTTTCAATCGACTCTTTTTCACAGCCATGTTGTTCCTCTCTCTGCGTTGACGATACTCGTCACTATTTCGATCCATGCTCAAACTCTTTTTGCTCTGCTTGCTCGGAGCCACAGCTTTGCCTCCTCCCCCAGGGCCAGCAGGCACCAGCTGAGGAACCTGCTGTAAGCCGCTGGCTTGTGCCTGAGTATGAATAACACTTATTCCATTCACCCCTGGAGTACTGTTTTGCTGCGATATCTTGCTCATTTGGGCACTCTCCCTTGCCAACACAGAACAGGTAGAAATGAGAGCAAGGTGATCAATGGTTTCCACGCTAAACTGCCAAAAAATCTTCACATGTACCTAGTTAAAAAATAAATGGCATTAAAATATTTGAAATGACAAGAGCAAATGAGACTAAACTTGCATGTACTAACAGCAAGCCAGCATTAACTGATTATGCTGAGAAAAGTCTACAGCAACTGCCAACTGTTCCAATGTTTCAGAAGTCTAAATCATTTAATTTAGAAAGGTAGGTTAGTACAGGAGCACCATCAGGCTAAACTCAGCCCACCTGAATCCCTGAGGGTACTGCCCATCTGTGAGTATTATCATACAAAATGGGAGGAAAAACAAAAGACTACCACTAATTAGGTAGCACATATGAACTAATAGCACCTGTCAATCTGCCAGGGATAAATTTGAGATGTTTGGTTAAACATGGAAAAGCTGAGTTCAACTGTGGTAGAAGAGACACCTGCAAAGAAAGGGGAAAAAAGTTTCAATTGTTGCTTTAAGTCAAAACAGAATACTAGAGTGGAGTGCCCAGCCTCCAATATCATGAGTACTCTGTATGCTCCTTATTCTAACCCTTTGCACTCAGATGTTCCAATCTAGCACACCACTCTGATGTCCCCTCCCTCTCAGGGGACATAAAGAGATTGCTGGTGACTATACAGGACAAACTTATGCAAGCACAGATTTTTCAAAATATACGTTTCCTTGAAGTTTTCCATTCTAACTTCAAGAAAAAGCAAATAAAGAGATGGACTATATACTGAGATATGATCAATCAGTTGAGGAGTGGTTTTCAGGAATCACAAGTGCGTCCTTTCCATGTCTTCTTCGAACAACAGATCGGACAATAAATTACATATTATTAATGTGGGAGGAAGAAAATGAGACTGCATTGTCTGCTTGAATAGAAAAACACCAGGTGGAAGACGTCAAACAAATTACTGTTGCACAACTTGTATCAATGAACCTGCAATGCAGGTCGGTGACTGTTTTACACGTTACCACACGTTAGAAAAATATATTGATTTTTTGTCATAAATACATTCCTCGATGCACAAGCTTCCTTTATAATAAAATAATTGGTTTCAACGCTATACAATTTAATATGAAGTGATTTGTTTTTCACTATTTTGTAAAAAAAGTGCAGTTCAGTTGCTGGCAGGTGATCCATGAGATGTCTCCGAGTGCAAAGGGCTAATCTGCACAGAACGGGTCATCAGGGACTGGAGCTTGCTTTGTGGGAAATTTTGAAAAGGTTGGGGGGTTTTTTGCTTGCTTTTATTTTTTAGTAACCTCAAATGATCACGCCATAGTTTACCAAAATTTACTGAGTTAGTCTCTTGGCCCCAATTTGCTCCACCATCCCACTCTGCTTCTAAAAGTGTTTTTCTTCTTGACATAATTAATAAAACATTTAAACACACTCAACCTGAAACCACAAGAAAAGAAACCAAAGCCCTAATGCTGAGGGACTTCACACTACTGAGTGAGCTCAGAGCAAGTGCCAGTTCTGAAGCATCTCTGTGCTGCTGCCTGTAGAAACGAAGTCGAGAGGTATAAAAGCATACCCGCCCTATCATCATGAGGCGACGTCAAAACAAACTAAGCTGGGTAAACTGTGTCCAACAAAGAGTCATAGCACTCTTGGAAATTTAGAAAGCAGTGTTATGAACCGTAAAACTATCCTGTTCTCTTCACAAAATTGCAAAAACTACATCAGTGGAAAAAATCTGGAGTCATAAGTATGAAGTGCCCCAATTAAGTGCATCCCAGTTACTAAGAAAAGCACAAGCTGGGCACGGTGGCTCACAACTGTAATCCCAGCACTTTGGGAGGCTGAGATGGGAGGACTGCTTAAGCCCAGGAGTTCGAGACCAGCCTGGGCAATATAGCGAGATCTCATCTCTTCAAAAAAAAATAGAAAAAGTTCAGTTAGTAAACACCAGTAGTTGCACTCAAACCTTTAGCCAGGCAATTCTGTATAAAACAGTGTTTATTGGTCTGCTTTTTGTTTTTAATCTTTGCTTTGAAAACTCCATATATTATTACTTTCAATTGCTTAAAAAGTCACACAGCCAGCCCTGAGCTAGTGGGTCATCTGTTCCACTCTAGCACTAAGGCAAGACAGAAAGCTTCCTTCCAAACCATGAGGGATATCTACTCCAACTTTATCTTCAGTAATGGACATTTCACAAGCTCCCTTGATAGTTTATTATGTTGCTTAATTTGTCTTCCAGTTAAAAAGTGTCTGTTTAGTACAAATTTGAGCTACTCTTACTGCCACCGAACATCATTATTTGGTGTAAAATGAATTGGAAGTGTTTCACTCATTTTTTTTTTTTTGTCAGGGTCTTGTCCAGGCTGGAGGACAGTGGCACAACCAGGGCTCATGGTAGCCTCAACCTTCTGGTCCAGGTGATCCTTCCACCTCAGACTTAGCTAGGACTACAGGCATGCACCACTAAGCTCAGCTAATTTTTTAACTTTCTTGTAGAGACAAGGTCTTACTAGGTTGCCTAGTCTAGTCTCAAACTCCTGGGTTCAAGCAATCCTTCTGCCTCAGCCTCCCAAAGTGCGGGGATTAACAGACATGACCCACTACACCTGGCTGCTCTGCTTTTAAGAACTTATTTAGCACCTCTCATGGGATTGTCTTAACAATTATGAACATGTTCACCTTATTTACCTACTTTTATTTTGTATATACCAATTATGTTTTTAGTCTTGAAAGCCAGCCTCAGTGGTCAACTTGGCTATGCTCAGGGACGGCAATGACCCAAAGAACAGACTAGGAACCAGGTCGATTCTTGTCCCAGCTCCGCCTCCCCACACTTCACTTGGGCAAATCTTCCCTTCTGTAGGCTTCAATCTCCCCATCTGCAAAGGAGGGATGTAGAATGGTTAAGATACCTTCTAACTGACAAAACACTACGACCCCCAGTCACCAAAAACTCCTATTACAGGTTCCATGTTTAGTGATATTCATGCCTGCTTCCATACCCACAGATACAGGAATAGGGAAGGGCTCTTGACCTCAGGCTGACAAGCACTAGTCCGAACACAGTAGGCAAGGTTTTGAAAGTGAGCCCTTTGGCCTAAAAAACAAGAGTATTCACTGAACCTACAAACTGGTAAAAATGTAAAGAGAAACTTGAAGATAATAAAAATAACTCTAAGCTGGGCGCGGTGGCTCAAGCCTATAATCCCAGCACTTTGGGAGGCTGAGGCAAGAGAACTGCCTGAGTCCGTGGATTCGAGACCATTCTGGGCAACATGGTGAGACCTCGTCTCTACGATAAATCAAAAATAAAATAAAAATAGTGATAAGAATGTTTTTTAAAAAGTTATTTAACCACACACAAGCCAAAAAAAACAGTTCTTACAGTGAAGAGAAAATTCACCAAGTAAAAGAGACCAAAGAGCTAAGTGGTCTAAAAGACTTAACTTCAAACAGGCTACCAATGTTGTTTTTACACTGAAAAAGGCACTCTCATGTGTGCTTGTGTTTCTTCCATAGACATTTACTGAACACCTACAACAGGCAAACAATTAAGTTTATTTCAAATCTGGACACTCCAACCTAATGACTGGCTCCTATGGGACAAGCACTATTCCGAAGTTCAGTCTCCGGGAGGCAGGGCAGCGCCTTGTTTCCTTACACGTGAATCACTCAAGTAGGAAACAGTAGGAAAACTGAAGAGCAGTTCTCAAAGTTTGGTCCCTGGGCCAGCAAAATCATCATTTAGGAACTTTTTAGAAATGCAAATTCTCAGGTTGCCCCAGACCTATGAATCAGGAGTTACAAGAATAGGGCTGACAGGGATTCGAGACCAGCCAGGGCAATACAGCGAGACCCGTCTCTACAAAAAAAAAAAAAAATAGGGCATAGTAGTGCATGCCTGTAGTCTCAACTACTCGAGAGACTGAGGCTGGACTGCCTGAGCTCAGGAGGTTGAGGCTGTGGTGAGCCATGATCATGCCACTACACTCCAGCCCAAGTGACAGTGAGACCCTGACTCAATAAATAAATGTTTTTTTTGAAAAATAAGAATAGGGCTGAGCAGTCCTGTTCTGAGGGGACCTCCAAGTGATTTTGATGACATTGAAGTATGAGAGCTACTGCTATAGATTAACAAAGGATATTAAGAATGGTGGACTAAGTGGGTAACACAGGGTTTGTTTTCATCCAAATTGCCTAATTCGAGTAATATTCATTTAAATCAGTAACACACTGAAAGCTCAGAGTGTTGGAATGAATAAACAAAATCAGAGTTTTCTCAAGTTTCACCTGGGAAAACACACCTGTCAAGAATTTTCCTAACCCTTCGGTCACTCCCCCCCCCCACATACCTGGAACTAGATAGTCCTCCCTTGCCCTCCAAAATACATTTTCCACTTAATTTCCTAAGTGAAGGTCAACATTTCAAAGTATTCACACAGATGCTTCTCCCTTGCCCCAAATCTCTTTGATCGTTGGGATCTGACAACTCTACCGAAAACAAACAAAAAACAAAAGAAAAACATCTCACATCTACCACTCCTCTCCATCCCGATGCCACAGAGATTCCCTCAAGTGGACATCGCCTCTCAGCGGCACCGACCCCCAGTTGAGCAGCGTCTCCTCCAACCAGTCTCCAGAGCCATCGAACACTCACACCCGAGCAGTCACCCCCGCCTGCTGAAGATCCATCTCCTCCGTCTCCAGGGTCAAATCCAAGGTCCAGACCCTCTTTGCCCTCACACTTCACACCTCAATGACACCAAACCCCCATCAGTCTCCTAAACTGTCTGCTTTCTCTTTCCTTCCTTCTTCTGTACAACAGTGTTCCTCCAGCCTTTGCTAACTTCAGTTCTGCGGTGTGTCTCCTTGTCGACTACGCCTAGAGGCGGGACTCTGCTCACCTTCACAGGTCCAGCATCTAGTGCAGGGTCCATGGAGGGCACATCCCCCTGCAGGAAGTACACGAGTGGTCCACTGGGAAGAAATGAGAAGGGAATGTACACTTGTCTTTTTAAATGTCACCCTTCCGATATGCTTTTTGCATAATTTACAACATACAAAACAAAGAGACTGTAAATACACATCTATTAGGAGCTCACGCTCATTTTTTTCTTTTTTTTACTGATCGGGCTAGGAAGCCAAAAAGGTAAGAGAACGGTGTACCTAACAGTGTACCATGGAACCACTGCTCCCAAGAACACACAACAAACCTGAACTGTGGCTACCTGTGCTTACCACTGCTATGAGCAAGTGAGGCAATCCCAGACCACAAGACCACATCCAGCCCCATGAAGTCCTATTTGTCTTTACCAGGGGCTCACCATTTGCGGTTTAATTCCCCGGGGTGAAGCCACCTTGCCAAGATCAGAGAGCCTCGCAGACAGTCACCATGCGCTCATGAGAATTTAAAGGATATACTGAAAAGAAAAAAACAACGAAGTTTTGCTTCCGCCTATTTTTTGTAAGCAGGTATTAAAAATAATTGAACCGGCCAAGTGTGCCCACCATAAGCAGAAACCAAGACGCTGAAACATGCTTCAGCTCACTGACATCCTGTAATTAGTGAGCCTTGTTTCCATTTTTTCCTGAAACAGACTCAACCTTATGAACTGCTTGTGCCAAATACCACTCAAGTGTAACAGCTGACCCGATCTTAACATCAAGAACTTTCAGATGCAGAATTTCTTCGGAAAGCAAGCTCTTCCAGTCTTTTATTTCAAAGTCGTATCTGGGGGAAATGTCTGCATTAATGACCGTCCAGGCCAATAAGGACTCGACTGAGTGCAGCTCCACGGCAGAACTACCAAGTTTTGTGTCACCCCCCACGCTACAACCTTCCTAAACCTGACCCACCTCAGAGATGCCAGATCCCAGGATAAACCCCCGACAAGAGGAAAACCCCGAAGAGCGGCCACACTCCAGCTGGCTGGAAGCAAGCACGCCCCTGCCCTCACATGCCCTTCCACCCGAGCGCCGGCCCCTCTGCTGCCCGCTCGGCTGGCCACGTTCGCTCCGCCCCGCTCGGCCTCTCTCGCGGGCTGCGGCTCGTTCATCTACCCCGGCAACGGGGGCCGGCAGGACATCCCCCCTCCACGGAGAGGCGAGACGCCCCGGAAAGCCCAAAGCGCATCTGCTTCCCGGGCTGCGCTGGCGCTCTCCGAACTTCTGGACTC